TAATTGTGCACCAGCTTTCTCTGCCAAGCTACGCCGTGCTGGCCCAGAAATCTTTCATGATTTCACCTGCAGCCGCATACCCAAAGTAATTTCTGCAAGGGTGTGGTTACCCTCATGACCACACCCTTGCAAGGGACTTGTCTTGCAAGGGTGTTGTGTGGGTTTTTGTATCTTCCTCCAAATGATCCAGATAAAGTATTTTTGCTTGGAGTGATAATTTGGTTTACTGTAAGTGTTGTTTGTAAAGCAGTGCTGCCTTGAGGAAGTTGAGTGTGGCATGTTGCAAAATTTGTTAGTCTCATGCTGTTTCTCAATACCGAGTTTGCCAAGTTCGGACTTCTCTACTTTAAAGCTCGGACTTGGCAAGTTCGGCTCGGGAACGGGAGCACGCAGTCAGTCATTCAGCCAGACCCGTTACCGGGCAGAACCTCACATCTCTGAAAACGTCATAACAAATTTTTCAAATCAGCTCTGTCTGTTTAAACAGCTATATTCCCGCATAAAACCTCTTAAAACTACTATATGTGACACAAGAACAGCAGTATTATAAGTTACAGTTGTGAGTTTTCTCATCTAACATTTCCGCAAATGCATTCTGGGAAATCTGGCTATCCGAAGTCCACACAAGTCATCACCGATGCAGGCTGGGTAAAGCGGGCAGAGAGAGAACACATCCGGGTATTTGACTGGACGTTTGAATTGGAACAACAGTACTTTGGCTACTACTGATGAAGTTTCACAAGTCCACAAGAACACAAGTACAGACAAGAACGCAGATTGAGAAACAGCTTATAGCTCTCTCTCTCTCACACACACACATTAACACATGCACACTCAACTCAATTGGCATGACATTTAAGTTTGAATATGTTGCCAAACAGAAAGTGAAAATGTCACTCTCTTTCTCTCCAACTCCACTTGTGCTCTTAGCTTAATACATTTCCCTGAAGCTGCACCCTTCCACAAGTATTATTTATCAAGTCAATTGTAAAAGCAGCGTGTTGATGATCACAAATAGATGGAGGGGAGGTTAACTGGTTAACTCATTTAGTTAACCAGCCACAAATATCTGACAGTGGAAGAGTTTTAACCATCCATAACGACCTCTACCTTCTGGCACAAGCTGCCATGTTTGGAATCCCCCATTGTCACAAAAAGTGCCGTCTATTCTAGTGATTTGTTTCTGAGACAACCTGCTCTGGGTACCACAGACCTACCAAAAGAGGGAGGGAGGGCTTAATGCGAGACCTGCAGTGAATCTCTACTCTCTCTGTCATCAGACTGAGCTGAGCTGAGCATCTCTTGGTCTGTCTGTGTTTGGCTCCTTTTCAGACTGTGTCCTAACAATGTTAGTGCAACACAACTCGGAAACTGCACCTCGGAGATATACGCTCACACACCCAAGCACGACATGAAACAAAACCGCAACATTACTGGCACCAGTCCAGGCACCAGATTCCAGTCTACCGTTTACAGTGATTACCTATTTCTTAGTCAAGGTTCATGCACAACTCTGGACTAATGCCAGATGGAATTGACATTGATTGAATATTAAAATGTTTAACATTGGAGCAATATGGATGCACATTTATCAGTAAATAATAAGCATCACATATTCAGCCCAGTTGTGCTATAAATAGTATTTTATATTTGAAACTGTATTAAAGGAATCCTGGGGGAGCCAGTCTGAATGTGCCTGATGCAGCTGATAACAATTATATCTAGTAACTATTGTTATCTATAATTTAGAGGGGTTTGCTGAAGTTTGTCAGTAGATGCTGGATCGTCAGCCAGTACATGCACAGGTCATCCACATGTCTTTAGCAGGTCACACAGACCCAGGTAAAACGCAGGCAGCCTCAGCCAGTACGAGCACAGCCAGAGGTGAACAGCCAGCATCAGATCCAAGCAGCTCAGACCCTAATGGAACAGTTGCTGCTCCACCAAATGACCCAGCAGATTGGCACCCAGCCTTATCAGACTTCATGAGGACTGAGTTAGTGCGCAGAGGTCTGTTCAAACCAGCACTGAATTTTTCTGGAAGAGGTTTCTATTCAGGCTTATTGCAGAGGCAGGAGGAGGACTGTAGTGAGAGCATTGCAGTGTCAGGTGTGATTGTGCAGCAATGGCAAATTGTTTACATGGCTCACAAGTCAAGTAAAAGGGCCCCATAGCCCAACACTTTTGTTTTTGCCCCCATTCATCATGAGCTGAACTCAAAGATCTAAGACTTTCTTTATGTACTCAAAAGGCCTATTCTCTCAAATATTGTTCACAAATCTGTCAAAAACATTTTCGAGTGGCCTTTTATTGCAGCCACACTAAGCCACCTGTGCAATACCCATGCTATCTGATCAGCATCTTGACACGCCACACCTGTGAGGTGGATGGATTATCTCGGCAAAGGAGAAGTGCTCACTAACACAGACATCCACATCCAGCCAACGAGAGCAGGCAGCTACTTTTTCACCAAAACACTTTTTACTCACCTCCAGCTCTCTCTGGTGCTCAGACGATCCCTGCTACCTGCGTGTGCTGATCCATCCTTTCACACATATTCTTTGTCTTTATAATTGCTATCTTTATAAAAAACAAACAGCTGTTTCATGTGTAGGTTCGCGTCATTTCCCGTTTCACATTTCACGTGTGTTTTCTTGACAAAACGTGGTTTGGAGACCAACATCGGGTGACACGTGTAGTGTGTGACCCCCTGTCACCGATCAGTCACGTAGTGTGAATGCCACAAAGACTTCAAGACTCCCGTCACAAGACGCAAATTGTATAGTGTGAACAGCACGGCCATGAAATTCGTGTAGTCTGCACAAGACTTCAGGGAAGCTAGTAAAGGACATACGTTGCAGACTTTCAAAAAAAAACCATGGGGGATGAGGGGGCCTGTGCCCCAGCGGAGCTTTATGTGTAGCAATACCCCTGAATGTTTGTATGACCTGCCACGTCTCTATCAAGGACCGCTTAGAACCTGGACTCTTTTTAAGTGGTGCAGACTGGAACCTACAGCCTCACTGTTTGGGCCCCTGGAAGAGCTTTTAATCCATGTGGGGCTCTGCTGGACCTTCAGGATGACAGCAAACCTGGTCTCTTCTGCAGGTTTTGCTCAGCTGGAACCTTTAAACTAAAGCACATAGTGGATGCTGCAGGACCGCGACTTCACTTTCCACCTTGAAGTCGAGCCGACAAACCAGAGACATTTTGAATTCACAGATTAAAAGACTCACTGCTGACGAACTGGACCTGCTGCAGGACGGTGCCATCAGAGGCTCCTGATAATGGAGACCCTTTCCCTGAGATGGGTCTCAAAATGGGCTGAACTGGATCAACAGGACCCTTGCTGGTCTCTGATTCTGCTGCTAAAATGGACCTATATGTGTTAAACAGGGTGAACAGGCTCTGAGAGGAAAGATGCAGAAAAGTAACAACTTCTAAAGTTTGTAGTGGGACAAGATAAATGATTTGGTGAAACTCAGAGTCCAGGTGGATTTCAGATTCTTTTCCCTGATGAAAACACTGAGGAATTTATTTCACAGAGGTGTTTCTCTACATTTGTTCAGTCGTTGAGAGGGAGCTGGAAACACTTCTTCTGAGTCTAACAAAACACTGATGACTCTAAACGTTCATAAACTGCAGACAATCATCTGAAATATCAGTCACTGCCTCTTCTCTGTCACTCTCCACTGCAGAGTGTAAATTTGGAATGGATATTACTGAGAATGACATTTTATTTAAGGTGCCATTAAGATACTTGAAACAGATAAAAAGTAAATGCTTAAAGTTGAAAAAAATAAAGTACTGTGATCAGTGACCTATGACCTCAGAAAATCTAGTAGTACTTTATTTAAGCAAAAACAGCAAAATACAGTAACAGTACAGAAGTTGTTTAACTAAAGCCAGCATGCATTTTAATTCAAGTACAAGGAAGGGAATTAAGTGATACTTTCAAGTTTTCCCTGTTATAATATATATTTATTAACTTTCTTGTTTCTGCTATGCTACACTGTGGAAACAGTAAAATAAGTGATATCACAATGTAACAGTTCAATTCAAGTAGAAGGTCGACATTCAAAATCACACTGAAGTAAAGGCACAAAAAACATCATCACAAATAGCTGATAATCTTCATCAAATCAGTGCAATTCTAATATAAAAATATACATCTTCATACAGAAGTTAATCTGCAGTGACTGATTCAACATAGACATTAAAGGGACAACAACAGTGTTAGAAACGAGCAGGAGACTTCTTGGTGTTTGTTGTTTGGGTAATCAACAGAGAGATTTACAGCAGTCAGATCAGTTTCCCAGAACCAGCCTGAGATTTAAATCTTCTTAATTGTCATGAATTTAAAGTGATGGAAAGCTCTCGCTGATGTTGCTGATGTGACCAAGAGCACAACGTTATTGGCAATATTTGAACAGAAGAACAAGTTAGTAAGAGTTTCTACACTCAGTTTATTCACCCAGCTTCAACTAATGCACTCGAATACAACAGTCCTCCTTCATGAAGTTTATAATGTTTAGTTTTTGTTGACTTGACTTTATGATAATTTTGGAGGCTGCAGTTTGTTGTGCTGTTGAATCTTATAGCATTATACAAGTGTTCACTATTCAGCCTAACCTCATTGATATAAGTTGTGTCCACAGAAGTTAGCTTTAGCTAGGTGTCCCTAATAAACTGGACTGTAAGTGTTTATTAATGTATCTGTCTTAAGCTGCAGCTCCTCCTGTCCATAAATTGATGCCTGTGTACAAACAGATAATCTGTCACAATCTGGTGAAACACAGTTGTGATAATATAAAATACGTCTTCATGGGAGAAGTTATAGTTATTGGCGAATACAGCACCTTAATAAACATTTAAAAACATTTTTATAACTGTAAACACTTATGTGTTATAAGCCATGAATTAAGTGTGCATGTGCTGCTTATAAATGTTAAATATTGGAACTTAAAGTTTTACCAACATGTTTGAAAAAATCCTCATAATAAAGAAGGAAATGCATTTTATTATTTTCTTTCAGTATCAGTCTAAAGCCACGCAGCTGTTTTAAGGCTCAGTGGTGCTTTGAGCTAAACGCTCAAGTCAGCATGGTGTTTCATGGAAATCCATCCAATAGCTGTTGAGGTATTTTACTTGAAACCTCAAAGTCAACCTGATGGTGGCGCCAGAGGAAAAGTAGGAGGATCATGAAAACAGATCATCCTCTGGGCACTTTCACATTTTGAACAGTCTGACTTCACTAACAATTTTTAGGCATGTGTGAAATATTCCTGCATATTTGGGCCCAGGAGTCTGGACTTTTCATTTTATCAATGCATAGAAACTGACTGATGTTCTCCTGTATAAATATTTGACAGGATTTTGTTGTGGTCTAATTGTTGACTGGCTCAGAAGATCTATGGAAAGTTCCTTTTCCAGTAGTGAGTATCTGGACCAGATGGAGTCATTATTGCTGCCTGAGATGTGTAGAACGCTGCTTGAGTGTTCAGCTTTTTCCCTTCAGATCCGTTTGACGCCGTCTCTGGTTTTTGCTCCTTCCTTACTCCGATCCTCTTCACACACTCTGAGAGAAACACAAAGCAGTTTGTGACACTTGTTAAGGGAATATTGTGTTAACTGCAGAGAAAATAGGTAAACAACAAATACACCTCTCACATCTCAGCAGGACTAAACCTGGTTTTAAACTGCATTTGTTTGGATCTGCTCTGGTTTTCTTAAAAGCAAAAAGCCAATGAAACCATGCACGGTGAGGCTTGGTGGTGTTTCATTTACACTGAATTCAGCTTCACCAGGATCAGTCTGTTTCATAAAGCTGGTTTGGCGCTAATGTGAGCAGTGACTTTGAAATAGGTATGTCCAGATAAATTCATTATTGCTGTTGTCCGATCAAGACATTTGTAACTGATCGGTATCGGCCATATTGAGCCCAATCTAATCCATCAACATCATCATCACTTTAAAATGATGTTTCAGTCTGGTGCTTTTTAATTAGAGCGATTTAGTGGCTGTTTCCAGTTAAACAAAAAGGTATTTCCACCATATTCTCAGACACTTTTAATAACAATCTAAACTTGTCAGCGGCAAAAACAAGCACTCTAGTGGACGTACTGTGACGGGGCCTATTGCCTGCAAGGATTACGTTGCAGCCCTGTTTCACTGATGCTGACTGCAGCGCGCTCACTAAATACCGGACCAGTTTTAAAAATGTTGTACCAATTAGTCACTAGACACAAAAACATGGAAAAATGAGGCCCTGGTTGAAAAAAAAAAACTGAAGTTACCCTTTAAAGGCGCCTTAGATGTTAAATGTTGTTTAGTAACTTACGCATTGTTATTTTCTTCCTCAGAAGCAGAACACCAAAAACGACGAGGCAGAGAATGAATAAGACAACGCTGGAAATGATCCCAGCACGGCCACGGTTCCTGTTTCCACCACCTGAAAAGATTTCAGAGAAGATGCTTTAGATGTTTAGAGGAAGGACAGTTTCAATGTCCTGCTCTGCTCTAACACTGATGCATCAGAACTAACAAAATAATCGGTCACAGGGGACATTTGAGCCCATTCTCATGTCAGGGTGTCAGATACTGATGCTTTCAGAAAGGCTGACAAAGCGTAGTTATTTGACGCAAAAGGTACCTTTGAGCGTCAGGATGAGACACAGAAGACACGGAAGCGCTAGGCCGATGTGCTAGCAGGTGGAGTTAACTTCCTTTGTGTTGCTTCGCACTAGCAGACTGTTGTTGTTGTTTCACATGGACACTTTTTGCATCAAATACTTCGCTTCACTTTTTCACGCTTTCTGAAAGCGTCGGTAATTGATGCACTGAGATGAGAATGTGTTGGACATTTTACTGCACAAGCAGTAGCCTCCCTTTGAGAAGTATACTTAAAGATACTTTTGTACCTTTACTTAAATGCAGGACTTTTACTTGTAACAGAGTCACTTTCATTGTCTTACATTTGCACTTTTACTTAAGTAAAGGCTCTGAGCACTTCTTCTACCACTGTGAGTGCATGCAAAAATGCTCACATTAAATGTTCAGACCTGCTGCACATTTCCACACAGCAGATCATCTTGCACTCAGAGGATAAAGTTGAACAAAGGAAGAAATATTCAAAGACATTTACCACGACCGTCTGGCTCGGTCTCTTCTTCCTCTGGAGGTCCAGTTGTGCTGGAATCATCTCTCTTTGTCTCGTTCTGCTGGTCTTTTCCCACCGTTTCTAATGAGAGAGGTCTAATTTAGGAACAACGTTATATACACTTTGAATTAAATGAACCTGAACAGTATTAAACTCAGCATGCTCACCAACAATGAGGTCAACAACACAGCTGGTCTTCAGCTTTGGGACAAAGCCTTTGTAAAGTCCTCTGTCAGACAGCTTCACTGAGGAGATGTGCAGAGTCAGGACTCCTCTGATCAGGTCTTCATGGAGGAGAGTCGTCCTGCCTCTGTATTGATCCGTCTGTGGATCAGGATCGTCCTGTTGATGACGATAGACGTGGACGATATCCTTGTTCTCAAGTCTCGTCCAGTCCACGGTGAAAGCAGACAGGTTGACGGGAGGATCCAGACGACACTGAAGAGTCACATTATCACCTTCTGCTGCCTTTATCAGCTGAGCCTGGTACATGGCAGGAGGCTCTCCTGAGGAAACAAACATTATATTTAGACAGTTTGAAAGCCTCTGAAGAACAGCCATCTTTGCAGCATTTAAAATGTTCTGCGTTGCAGAGTCCAGGTGTTTAAATTGAGTGATATCATCTCAGACAACTCAGTTTGAGTTTGTATGTTCTGTAATGTAAAAATAATACATAATAAAAATAAATAAAAACATTAAAGTAATGTTTCGAGCCACGAGTGTCAACCATGTGGACTTGATTTGACTCGCTTGAATTTCAGACACCTCCTGTCCCTCAGCTGTGGTCTTTTCTTCATCATTAGTGTCTTATTGTCTTATAATATATATTTGCCTGTTCTGTTCATCATAAACAATATAAGTGATAAATTGCTGGATTTGACACTAAAAATGAGCTGTACATTTCAAGTTAAATGTGGTCTAAGGTACATACAATATAAAAGTATATGTACATGATATATTATGGATGGAAACTCAGTGTCAGATTGAGAAGAGAGTCAAGACGAATACACTTTTTAATCCCCAAAAGTGTTTGTTGGTGTCCATAAGTTTTGCATTACCAACAACTGCTTCACACCAAACTTAGGTTGCAACCAAAGTGATATTTTAATTGTCATAACGCCACCTACTGGCAACTGGAAGTAACATGTTTTACACCTTGCCTTTAACTTTTTAACTTCAGAACTGTCTTAGAACAGACTTCATCCTCCCATCACTAGTTTTCACACATGCAAACATTAAATGGTCAATTTGTCTCCCCTCAGCAGAAACAAAATAAAGTAGGCTAATATACAGTATTTCAATCTAATCAACATAACATGTGCAAATAAAGCAGCACATGCTGTACAGGCTACCACATACTTCAATAAAATCTATGTGGAGCTTGTAGGTTTGGTTGTTTTACCACTGACTCCCTGTCATATGTTGATTCAACTTTTATTTTTTGGAATAGAACACCACATTTAAGTAAAACAGACAGTTGATGCTGAATGAGCTGTTCCTGTCAGTAAAACTACTACAGGGGGATAAGTACCACTCAAAAGCACTGCTAGACCTCCATGTTATACTGAAGCTGCACCGAGAATAATATCATTTATTAACACTATACTACATACAATATAGTGTGTCAAATGTTTGATCCAGAGAAAATAAGAGTCAAAGTAGTTAATTGTCTTGGACAAACTCATAAGACTGAAACTGTACAAAACTTTCTCAGGTTTAACGTTTCACACTGTTTCATCCATGCAATATTTCACAAAGGCCCCAAAATATCTCATACTCTATTACAAGATTAGAAATCTGACATCAGCCCAAAACATGGGGCCTATAGGAGGCATAAATAATATTAAATTATCAATAAACTGACCTCTGACAATTACCGCAAACAGTAAAACACTCAGGAGATTTAGTGTCCCTTCCATAATCAAGTCAATCCAGAGTGAAATGTGATGCGATTTCACCGATGAGCGTCCAGAGTCCTCAGCAGAAAAACGTGTCCGTCCAGCTATTCAGTGCTGACAGCAGGTAGCAGGAAAGGTTTTGGTTTAGCTGGAGACCTGTCTCGCTTTTATATGATTTGGCTCCACCCATAGCCCACCCATCTGCGGTTATTTCTCTCTGGAAGGTGGGATCTGTCATATGAAACCGTTTTGCTACGTTTTGTCTACACTGAACACTCTGATCCCCCCATCTGCGCGTATTTCTCCGCCAGGATAAAACCGAGACCGACGCCCTTTTCTCCGGGCTGGTTGGCCCTTCCTCTGGAGGGGGGGATCTGCGCATATTTCTCCGAGACAGGATAAAACTGAGACCGACGCCATTTTCTCCGGGCTGGTTGGCCCTTCCTCTGGAGGGGGGGATCTGCGCATATTTCTCCGAGACAGGATAAAACTGAGACCGACGCCCTTTTCTCCGGGCTGGTTGGCCCTACCTCTGGAGGGGGGGATCTGCGCATATTTCTCCGAGACAGGATAAAACTGAGACCGACGCCATTTTCTCCGGGCTGGTTGGCCCTTCCTCTGGAGGGGGGGATCTGCGCATATTTCTCCGAGACAGGATAAAACTGAGACCGACGCCATTTTCTCCGGGCTGGTTGGCCCTTCCTCTGGAGGGGGGGATCTGCGCATATTTCTCCGAGACAGGATAAAACTGAGACCGACGCCCTTTTCTCCGGGCTGGTTGGCCCTACCTCTGGAGGGGGGGATCTGCGCATATTTCTCCGAGACAGGATAAAACTGAGACCGACGCCATTTTCTCCGGGCTGGTTGGCCCTTCCTCTGGAGGGGGGGATCTGCGCATATTTCTCCGAGACAGGATAAAACCGAGACCGACGCCCTTTTCTCCGTGCTATCTGGCCATGCCTCCTAGGCTTGTGAGTTTGACGCTATATTCTCCGTGCTGGTTTCATATGACAGATCCCACCTTCCAGAGAGAAATAACCGCAGATGGGTGGGCGATGGGTGGAGCCAAATCATATAAAAGCGAGACAGGTCTCCAGCTAAACCAAAACCTTTCTCGCTACCTGCTGTCAGCACTGAATAGCTGGACGGACACGTTTTTCTGCTGAGGACTCTGGACGCTCATCGGTGAAATCGCATCACATTTCACTCTGGATTGACTTGATTATGGAAGGGACACTAAATCTCCTGAGTGTTTTACTGTTTGCGGTAATTGTCAGAGGTCAGTTTATTGATAATTTAATATTATTTATGCCTCCTATAGGCCCCATGTTTTGGGCTGATGTCAGATTTCCCCACTGAGCAAGCGACGTCTGTGGACATACAAAACAGGTTGATATCACGTCCGTCCGTCCAGGCCATAATCTGAACGTCCATTGACAGCCAGAATTAGTCGATTAATGACAATGAGAAATGATGTCCAATCTGGCCAAAATCTAAACGTCCACTGACAGCCAGAACTAGTTGAGAAAAGACGTTCATACTGGCTATAATCTGGACGTCCGGTGACATCCAGAGACAGTCCATAAATGACAGAAAATATGTTTAGGCCACAAAAATGTCAACAAATCAAAAAAAGATGTTCCCAATGCGGCTATAGCCAGAAATGACAGAAAAAAAAAGAAAAAGACAAAAGAGACAGCATGGCTAAAATCAATTTTTCATTTAAATGATTGTAAGAAAACTACAACAAAACACAAAAACATTAAAAACCATCATCACAACATTACCACATTAGAGTCCCTCAGTCCAGACTAATTTAAGTCTTTCAATCCAGATTAAGTGCAAGTCTTACACAGCCACTGTTCTTATAGCTTTTCAGTTTTTAGATAACTCAATAGACTCATTTTCATTTAATGTTTAAATCTTATTGCATTTAAAAAATTTACATTTGTGAATGTGAAATTTAAATAACAGAAAAAGCAAGGTTTATAAAATAAATATCACTTATTCACATGAAAACTAAAATTATTTTTATATGTAAAACCAAAGTTAGGATTCACATAACATTTGATAAAATCACAAATGTCACACCAAAATGTCACTGTGAAAGAGCAGTTCCAAAATAAGTCTCATGTTTTTCTGAACAGAAAGAGTATGTCATTCTTAAGTCTTTTGAGAGAGCACTTAGTAAAACCTATGAATTAACTTAAATTCTCTAATTTTGTTGGTAGTCCAAGCTTTTTTTCCACAGAATGATCAGTTCAGACTCAATTAAACGGAACAATTGACAGACTCCTCCCAAAACAAGACTATAAATTTCTTATTGTTTTTTAATTTAGATGAAGAACGCCACTGAGCAACAAAGAGATGAAAAAGGTTGCTATATGGCTATTGAGGACAAAGTCAGACGGTGACACTTCTTCCAGTCCATATGGAATATCGAAAGTTTTATATAAAATTATATTTATTCTAGAAAAATTTATTGTCTTTTTTTTCTGTCTGTTTGAGGGTGATGGGTAGGCTATTTCATAAATGGGCCTTTGAAGGCCATGGTTCCAAAATATCATGTTCCAAGCTGACCAACTTGACCTCAGCAAATGTGTAAATAAAATCTATTTCACCCATATACTCTATTTGTCCAATTTTTATAGCCTACATTTTGTTGTTATTTGTTATTTATTTATTTATTTATTATGTGTATGCTGTTTAGTAAAATTATATTAAAAAGTAATATATGCATATTTTTCGGATAATAGTGTTTTTTTTTCTCTCGTTTTTTTTTTCTGGTGAAAAAGGCGGTTATTGGGTACTCTTTCCGGATTCAAGTAGATTGTGATATACCTCCCCTGTAGAAACACAGTTCTACCTTAGTGTTAATAAATAACAGGGACGGTAAACTTTTTTTTAACTTTTATAACATGATACTGAGATTTTTTATATTGATCAAACATGCTCGGAATACAGAGTTTCCAGTTCTGTGGCGGACGGATATGTGACTGCAGTCCGGTCCGCGCAGCAGTCTCTGGCTCTCCGCAGTCCGCACCTTAACTGTCTGAAGGCTGTCTTCGTCTCGTGTCGCTGTCTCGCACTTGACTATCAAGGACTTGTAAGTATGTTGTAATGTTGGTAATAATAAAGTGAGTGATTCCCGAAATGTTATCATAAAATTTTTTTCGATAGTCGCAGTTGCTCCAGTCAAGTCATCAATCATCAATCATCAATTTCTATGGCAAGCCGTTTTAACATTTACTAATTTAAACCGACTAAGTTAGTATTTTAATACTAACGTTACTTATTTTTTAGATACTATTCCATTAATTACTAGTACTTATTCATTAGCAACTATATGCTTATTCTTTAGCTGACTTACTAGCTTGTTATTTGTCTTAATAGTACAACAGTAAAACATAAATGTCATATTTACCTGTGCCCCTACTGTCTTAAGGCTGGACAGATACCGAAACTGAATTCAGTTATCAAACAGTCTGCACTGCATAAATTATAAATGAAATATAGACTAATCCTTATTAAAGCTACAAAAGTTTTTTAGTCAAGAGCAGTGAGTAATTTTCTGTTTTCTTTGTACTTTGTTTCATAGTCTTTCTTGACATCGCGATTGTGATCATTCATCATTCATTTATTTATTATATTATTTTTTGTTGCAGGTTATCAGAGTCGTCAGAGCTGTGTGGAATGAAAATGGGAAGGAGATGGAGGGGACCATCCCTGATGCCTGGGTGAACGTTGCTGAAAAAACCCTTCAATGGCCAAAGACGAGGGCAAAATATTGTTTCGACAACCATGTGGCTCCGAAGGAGGATTGGGAAACTTTCCCATTGGTGAAAGTGAAATTTACCTCAGGTAACCTCTTATATTTTGATGCAATTCTGAGAAGTTATGTGATTATATAAGCTTTGATGACATGCATGCTGTCTTTGTAGAAAGTCTCCGTGAGCGTGAAGAACATGATCACACCAGCCATGCTTAACAATTAGAAGATGAAGATGAAGACGGAGAGGTTGTAGTGCAAAAGAGAAAGAAAAAAACTAAAACCTTTGAAGATTTTGTTGAAGGTATGTCCCCATCATTGGTTGAATAGTGAAAACATGCAAACTCATGTTACAATTGACCCTTCGCAGGGAGCTTGATTGACAGGTGATCTGACCAATCATACTTCGCCATCTGCCTTTTTCTCCGACAAAGCAGTCAGGAGAGATAGTAGATTAACATGGGATGATTTGAACTTGAGAAACGGAGTGTACTGACGCCTTTCCGCGGTTAAAACAATTCATGTTTATGCTAGAATGGAGAGATGATCGGTTCACGAGCAGCTTTAATGATGCTCTACAGCAGGGGTGTCAAACTCAGTTCCTGGAGGGCCACAGCCCGGCAGAGTTTAGCTTCAACCCTAATTAAACACACCTGATCAGCTAATCAAGTCCTTCAGGCTTATTTGAAAACTGACTGTGTTTGTGTGTTGAAGCAGTGTTGGAACTAAACTCTGTAGGGCTATGGCCCTCAAGGAACCGAGTTTGACACCCCTGCTCTACAGCGATCTGTCACGACACATTAAAGAGCCACAAAACGATAATTATTGTTTACATTTATTTAAAAAATGAAGACATTTGTAAAGTGAGACTTTGTTTAATATGTTTAATATCAAAAGTAACCTGGTCTGTCCTGTCTGTCAGCGTGTTGTCAGTCTCCTCTCTGCTCTGCGATGTGTTTTTAACTGTGTGAGAACATGAGAGCGGCATAGCTTGTTGGTACATGGCAACAGTAACTAAGGGGGCGGGTCTTTTGGAACAGTCAACTGTAACGTGTTTTAATATTCAAAGGATCAGACCTGTCTGAGGCGTCTGCTGAGGGGGAGGATAAAGAGGAGTGGAAAGGAGGTACAGAAATGTTGTGGCATTAATTTAATGTGCATTGAAAGGTTGCCTGTGCTTAATAACAAAATTAAGTTTTATACCCCTTATTTACTGATAAGATGCCAGTCCTATAATTCCAGTCTTTCCCACCCCACCAATCAAAATTCCAAAAAATGGTGAGTTGTTGCTTAGATGACCATGCACATTTTAACCAGATTAAAATTTTAAGTTATTTGTGATTGTATTAAACTATGTCTGTCTTTGTTGTCAGTGGGCCATGACAGATCAAATAGTGGTGAGTAGAGCTGTCAATCTTCCAATTTAATACCGTTCAAATTTCATTTTTCTTTTAATATTCAAATATTTATTGCTCAAATGCAGCCTGTATTTCACTATTATGCATTGTTAACGCAGTAATGATACAATATCTAACAAGTGTATTGAAGCGGCTCTCTTGCAAAGGCTGGTGCTCAGTTAGCACAATTTAAGCATGTTCGAAAGCACAGCAGAAAAGATTTGTCATAAACTAACAATAGCGTTAAAAACTAGCAATAGTTGTTATCAAATAGTAACAAAAGAGCAGGAGAGAGTTCGGCAAACAAATGTTCAAAGATTTAATATTTTACAGAATAATTTACATAACCGAAATACAACCATTTATAAGTCATACCATTTAAGTGAGTTAACACCTTGTGTTTCTTGCTGATTGTGATGTTCCTGAGAATACAACTATTAGGTAATATATGAAGTCGAAGCTCACTGACAGCTGTAGGGCAGCTAACATTAACTTTAGCTGTCTCCATGAAGCTCCCAGCTAAGCTTCTTTAACTTGCAATGTAGTGAGGAAAAAATAATTAGCTGACTAATGATAACAAGCATTTTGGCTCGGTGAATGACAATTTTAAAGTTAATGTTAAAGCTATTTCCCATCCTTACGAATCCCGCAGCCTGTCACTCCTCCTGTACTAACGTTACTCGGTACATCTAAAGACCTCACATTGCCTTGTGTTTCTCACTCTCGCTAACTTGAATTGTTCATCAAACGTGACATGAGAAAAGCATTTTGTAATTTTAGGATTTAAATACTACTGTTTTTTTTACTATTCAAATTATATTTGACTTTAAGAATTTGTTCCAACTGCCCTGCTGATGAGT